AAAAAAAAAATGTCTTTGTAGGTGTTCAATGCTGCAGAAGTACCCATCGAATGGGAAGAACATTATGTTGGGGATTCAGTTGATCCTAGAACCGAAAGCTTTCTGACCTGGGAGAGCCTGGAATCTGTTAGAAGAAATGGTGTGGGCCTGAAAGGACCCATGGCTACGCCTATTGGGAAGGGTCACAGATCCTTGAACCTTACATTGAGAAAAGAACTTGGCTTATATGCCAATGTCAGACCTTGTTTCAGCCTTCCTGGCTATAAAACTAGATATGATGATGTTAATCTTGTCACCATCCGTGAGAACACTGAAGGAGAATATAGTGGTCTTGAACATCAGGTATACTGATTTAAAGTTGTTGTCCATTAACCTTTTTAATATTATTATTTGATAATATAGTTATTTAAGAGTAATTTGTATGCATGTTGTCCAGGTGGTGAGGGGAGTTGTGGAAAGTCTGAAGATTATCACCCGTCAAGCTAGTTTGAGGGTAGCAGAATATGCTTTTCATTATGCTCGAACAAATGGAAGAAAGAGAGTTTCTGCTATACATAAAGCCAATATCATGAGGAAAACAGATGGTCTTTTCCTTAAGGTACGTTGAAAAAACAAATGCATTTTTCTTTTGTGCTGCATTTCTTCTGAAATAACATATTTTTAAAAAAATTTCCTCCTCAGTGTTGCCGTGAGGTTGCCGATAAGTACCCCGACATAACATATGAGGAAGTCATTATTGATAATTGTTGCATGATGGTATGAATAATTTCCTCATTCAACATGCCATTGTTTAGATCCATGGCTTAAATTCTGCTTTTTCTATGGATCTAATGATATTTCTCTACAAACAGCTAGTGAAGAATCCTGCACTCTTTGATGTACTGGTGATGCCTAATCTCTACGGAGATATAATCAGCGACCTTTGTGCTGGTCTGATTGGGGGCCTGGGTTTAACTCCTAGGTAAAGATAATTATGAACTTAACCTCTCCATATTCATTACTAGAATCAGTTCATTCTTCATCTCAAAATCACATAATATACAGCTGCAACATTGGCGAAGGAGGCCTAGCTCTAGCCGAAGCTGTGCACGGTTCCGCCCCCGACATTGCTGGAAAGGTTTCATCAATTTCATTTTTTTTGCTCCCTCATTATATTTGATTTAGTAGTTTTCTTACTTCTTTGTTCACATGAGTTGCAGAACCTAGCGAATCCTACAGCTTTATTGCTGAGCTCTGTTGCGATGTTGCGGCACCTGAAGCTTGATGAGAAGGCTGATCGAATCCATGAAGCCATTCTGAAAACAATTGCAGAGGGTAAATATCGAACTGTTGATCTTGGTGGCAAATCATCCACGACAGAATTCACAAATGCTGTTTGTGACCACATTTGATGATGTTTTCTTATTTATTCATCCAAAGTTTTTATAGAGCTTTGATTTTGAATGAGGTGTGATTACTGTCCATTATTTATGAGCTTACAAATTCAATGTAGGAATAAAGCTCATGGGAGTACGGGAGATTATTATAGTCTGCTTTCTGATTCCATGGCTATGCCATATGTGACATTGATGCTGTGTTAAAAACTATTAATCGTTTTTAGTGCTGATATTTTGACCTGGAGAAACATAGGTCACATCATGGGCTTAGTTATTATGCTCGCTGCTGTTTTAATGATTTTTTGCTCTTTTTTTAGTTTCGAGCCAATTACATATGAAACTTATTTACAAATCTTCTACACT